AATGCTATGCAATATGAGAGGATTTGCTACAATTGTCCAGGCTGTCAAAAGCAACTCGCAAAAAAATTTAAACAAATATTGGCAAAGAAAGGGAGAAATCGAATAAGTTTAATTCGTAATATTTAAAATAAGAATATCTTTAGGTTATTTTAAATAACCTACATACATACGAGTAAATCACATGTACATATATGTATATAAGAAGTGTGCGCGTTTTATTTATGCATAATATAAGAGACGAGAAAAATCCAATTTATATTAAATCGATTGATTTTCATAAAAATTCTTTTACAATACTGTATTCCATATGTGCATAGATAAATTCAACAATCTACTTAAGTGTACTATTGTTATAAAGTGCTGACACCCCGTTAACTTATTAGTTTCACCAAAATTTCTTAGCTTTTTAATGAAAAATGTTGAAAGGCTAATTCCGTTTATTCTAGATGTAAGTACTAAGTACATGCATATGAACAAATACGTACATATGAGTATTGCATTCTCTAATTTTTTATGCTTTTACATGTTTTATGTACTATATTCAAATAAAAATTTGGAATAAGCTGGACAAATCTTAATATACTTATGTACATGTACGCATTGTGGATCAGTAAGACTGATAGTAGGTTGTCTTAATTTCAAGGTTTACTTTGAAACAGGAGATGTTTAAATATTTTATTATAGAGGTATTTAGTTGTGAATTGTAGTGTAAAAAATAAAATGAATCGAACAAAAAATTATTATTTTGCGATCCTTTCCACACTTCAATCTGCTCTTATATTTATAAGCCTCTATTCATTTAATAAAATATAAGAATGTTAAAAATTGAAATAGTTCGTTCAACGCAAATACATACAAAAAAAAAGGCACAATGCCTAATGAAACTCCTTAATAAGTATATCTTAAGTTTTAAAAAAGTTTTACTCTTTTAGCTTTTAAAACCTCTTTTCTTATTTGCACAGTAAATACTTCTCTTATGATACGTTCTAGTTAAATACAAGTTACATTTGTAAGAAGACAGTCAAATGGACCAGGATTTCTTATAAAGAGAATAAACTAATTATGAAGCGAATGAAATTTATGGCGAATATGAATTTTTGGTATTATGATTAGCGAATTCACCTTAGGCGAAATCTTAGGCGAATGAGCTGTCAAATATTTCGAATGAAAATTCTGTGTAACAAACTTGGCGAATGAAACCAACAATCAAATTAATGCATAAGTGTTTTTTTTATTTGGTATTATAGCATTTATAGTGATATAATGAAAGAATCTAAACTATCTGTAAAGTAAGTTTATAAAATTCTACAAATTATTGTAAAAAATATTGATTGTTTAATATTAATTTAAGCGTGAAAAAGACGAACCAAAAACAATACGCGCATTTAAATAAATAAATAGAGAACAACTCCCTAATCACTAAAGGGATAGAAAAATGCACAAAAGCAAAAACATTGTTTTTACAAAAAAGCAAAAACAATGTAAGTATATATGTGTGGTGTTAACCTTATTATTTTCGGTAGGTTTTCTTACGTCTTGCGGTAGCAACATTTTGGATCTGGCGAATAAAAGCATTCGCCGATCATAATTTAAAATATCATTCGATTCGCCTAGCCCATTCGACTCGTTTAGCTGATCGCTTGCCGACCATAGTAAGGGTATACTTAAAATGAAATAACGTTTTCCGACAGTTTCTTAATGCCTGAGAAAGTGCATAAACGTAATTGCATTTGAAAACACATAAGCACGAATTTCTAAGAGCAAAAGAATATTTTAGCTTGATGTGTGCATATGAATACGTCTTGTATTATAACGGATCAAACTAAATCTTTTATGAATACTTTTATTTTAGATACAGTAAAATGTATATTGAACTATCGTTTGCTTGCTGAATCATACAAAATAAAATCAATCAATAAATAAATTCAATATAATAAAGAAATTTTGGATTATATTTAGGAGTTCAGTAGATATGAAACATAAGACTCTGGTGGGGACGATTTTCCAAAACTTAATTTAAAAGTTGTAATTGATGAATTGTGTAGCAATACAGTATGATTAAATTTTTAGGTGTATGATTTTGAATGAGTGTAGTAAAAAATTATTGTAAAACATTGCTTTCATTTGATTTCATCGTTTATTTCGCTCTCTTTTACTCTGATTAGACTATAAAGAAAATATTTATATCAAGATGAATCAACTATTTATTAGCAAGTAAACAAAAAACGATAGGTGTGAAATTAACTGAACTACAAAAAGAATGACAAAGAAGATTATTTTTATAACTGAACTATAAGAATAACATTATATTTGTGAAAATAACACTAACATTGGTAGCCACTTCCATAATGTCAGACAACTAGTTTTAGAAAAGGGCTCTCATAAATTTTACATATTAATCAGCAATAAAATACCGAGAATGAAAATGAATGTTCTCAAAGAGAATAGGTCCACAATTGATGTTAAAACGTGAGCTTTGTTACGTAACGGTTTGCAACAAGCGATTAGTATATAAATTATCTGAGAAAAAGAGCAGCTACTATTTCGGTGTTTCGATAATCAGATGCCGCGTACAGTGCCCTGTGCAATATATGTACTGTGTTATGTTAGGAAATTTGAAAAAGGAGAGGGAGAAAAGTAGCAAGGGGCACAAAAAAGAAGCGTAAAAACACCAGTCGAAGTATAACACAAGGCTTACCAATTATTACTCGCGATAAATAAAAATTTGCTTTTGCATATGCAATTTTTAGTTAAAACATGAGTAACAAACTTTAAAACACTTTGTAAATTTTACAAAATATGGAAGCAATATCTGACTGTCAAACACAAAACAAAACAAATAGAGAAGGAAAGTGCTAGAATAAATATGATCAAAAGTAAGTACCGCAGATAATAGCGCGAATTAAGATATTGCACATTTCAATACCAACTTAGAAAAATATTTAAATTCAAGTTGGACGTGTGAAATAGAAATACATACTAATAAAACACTTATTTTAAATGTTATTTTATATAAGGGAAAAAATGTTTTGATATAATCTTAATTAATTTTTAATTACACAATATATTCAAAAATTATTGCTGCAAAAACAATATTATACGTTATTAGTGTAGTTAAACTTGTTCTAAACTAGAAATTTTCTTCACAGATAGATTCACATAGATTTCTTCGATATTTAATACTTAATTGTTTAAGTTTTAATATTTTATATTTCATAATTAAATCTAAGTATATGAGCTTATGAAATTTAGTTGTTTTAACGAACACCTGTAGACGATATTTACATATGTACTTATATATTAATTTCTACAATTCTCTTTCATAAAGTTATAAAATACGAAATTCAAAATGCTCTCCAATACATTGAAAAAAATATTTTGCATCTTCGTTTTTCACGTTTCCCGTCTTCTTAACATTACTCGTTTAGATATTGTTATTTTCTCAGTTGATTTATAGTTTGTGCCGTCATATTATACTATATATGAAATTGCACTCTCGCTCTTCCTGCAACATTTTGAAATGAAAAAAGAAAAAATATAATAAAACGGAATAGACTTGTACGTCAGTTATACTTATAAGATATTTAACAAAAAAATATTAATCTCACCTTTAAAAAACATTCTTTAAAGAATATGTTTCTAAAATAATGTGGTGTAATGACGCACAAATACAACTTTGTATAACCTAATAAAAAAAGGGAATGCCATCATATAAAATTGAACAAAAATTTTTCTGAGACGTTTTTCAAATAAGTAAATATTTCATGTTTAAGCAACTATTACACAAAAACGGTAAGTTTGACATCAACCATACATATTATCGTCATGTAGGTCTAATTAGTGAAAAAAGTTGCAAACAGTTTCGAAGCTGATCAAATATTTGTCAAACAGATTTTCAAAACTACCTTAGACACAGGGTATTACCCCCCCCCTCCCCTTTTTTCCTAAAAAACAAAAGAGAATCAACACTCGAGGTCTTTAATACCAATTCTGGGCTCATTTTAAATTATAACCTGGAATTATATTATTTTAATCCGTATTTAAGAAAAACGTTCTGCTTTTTTTATCTTAGCAGAGTATACTTTTCTGAATTAATTTTTATAGAAAAATAGCATACCAGATTTAATTAGATAAGAAAATTTCTTTTCTAGATTTTGACAAAAAAAACTTTAAGATAAAGAAAAATTTTGAGAGTGACAACACTGCAAAAAAAACCAAAATGTCAAATTTTTAATACAAAATATTTCAATACATTCGCATGCTTCTATTAGTATGTGTAAGTACTGTAATTTTTTATGATGTTGTCTGGAAAATATAAACAAAGATATTGTACACAACAAGAGAGAACCTTCTAGTGAATATACCAGTATGCGTACTATAAATTCTTAAACAAAAAATCATGACGTTGTATCAAGCTAAATTCATCATGCAAGGCTATAACTGAGCGAAGAGAGAAATAACAACCTGTCTAGCCAATAATATTATATTGTATAAATATTATATTGATCTAATTCTGACTAAATAAAAATTTTCCAATTTTTTTGTGATTTAATGCATTAAAATTAATGTAGAAGAATATATTATTAATATACAAAAAATAAGTTCTAAAAAGTTTGAAATAATAACAATGTGACAACAAATTTTAAAAAGTAAATACCAAAACAATTTAATAATAAAAGTATAAACATGAATGTCCAGGCATTTGTTTCTGTTAGGCCGAGTACAACGTCGTGTGCAAAATATTGTACATATAGATTTGTTGAGTTGAGATACGACTATCAAAAATAATAGACAAAACAAAAAATTCTCTCATTTATTTGAAATGAGTAAACACTGTAAAGTTGAATGAAACTTTCAGATTATTTTTATTTCAATTTGTTTTTACTGTAATTCAATGTTATTTTTGTTATTGTAATGTGTAAAAATACAAAATACCGCTTTTTGAAACATGTATGTTAATCAGAGTATCACTTTTAATATTATTTGCCTTTCATACTTACATGGTATTTGTCAATTTGTTCGAATAACTACTTGTATTCAATAAATTACGTTATTAAAGCAATTAGTTGCTGAATTAGTTAATTACAATAAGATACGATAAAATGTGGATATTTAAATATCTAAACAATACTTTTTTTTCCTTAAAATAATATTCGAATTTAATTTTAATACAAAATTTACTCACTGTTTACAAAAGTTCACTTATAAAATTATTATAAATATTAATGTTTCTCACTATAATACACAGGATAAGGTTAAGAATTTCAATTTTTTAATTTTTTTTCAAGAAAACAAAATTAATTTTAAAAAATCTTCACCATTTATCAATTATTTTTTCATTTCCAATCATTTTAACCTTAGAGGACACGCATTTATTTTGTTAAATAGTTGAATTAATTAAGTTAAAACACTCTTATGTACGTAGTTTAAACGGAAATTTAAATATAGTTTTACGATGAACAATATGTTTATTACTTTAAAAAAGAAAAAACAAAACACGCGATACACGTACACCCCATAATACAGTTTTATATCGACTGACTAACAAACTAAAAACAACAAAAAAAAACCAAAAATAAGAAAACAAAATAACAAACACATTGAGAAAGAGGTGAGAGGGAATTTAGAAAATTAAAAAAAATATTAAACAGTTGAACATACTATACAATACAATACAACCAATGCTTTAGACTTCGCACTACATAATATTATAAGTACATACATACGTCACATGTGTAGATTTTTACACTGTACTGTAATCTGTATTCTCTACACTCTACAGTCTACAGCATAATATAACAGTAATATTATTGCATTGCAATGTTGAGTTCTGTCTTTCAATGCATTTACAGTGAATTGAAATTTGCAATGTCGTGTTTTATTCACAGCACAATCCAGAGATGAAGATCTAATGAAAAAAGGTTTATTTATAAATCTTTCGTGATACATACTTATATTTATTTCGGACTATTGTCCGAATTTGTGTCCTTTTAATTCAACTTTATTATTCAGTCTCTGTTCTTCCTTTTATATTATTTTTTTATGTTTTTCAAAATAATAGCGTCAAGAATACAAATCCTAAAAAATTAATAAGGACTTAATGATGTTAATATACCGATTGTTTAGTTTTATGAATTTACGATCAAAAACTGACAATATGTTATTGTTTATCGTTCGTTCAAAAAGAACTACAAGTGCGATCCGCTTTTTTATTATCGAAGTTCGAAATAGTGACATTGACCGACAAAACCTGTTTGATCGTCCGGCATGTTTCTTTTACATTATCTTCATGTTCGAAATTATGACGCATTTTGCGCACATAACGGCAATATTGTTGTATTTCTTATAGAAGAAGAAATTCTATAAGAATTTTAAAAGTTTAGTAATAATTGGTAATAAGGATCTTTAACCCGATTAGTCCGATAAAATTTGGGAGAAGTTATAAACTTTTATTTTCTCGAACATACAACATTCAACTATGCTTCGAAAAACTATAAAATCCTGTAATTTATAAGTTTTATATAGACGAAATGAGTAGTTGAACCACTATTCCGATGGAAAAATATTGAGATTGTATTTAAGTCGTTTTTGGTCACTGTCTCAAAGGCCTGAAAATATTCGTATGAATGTCAAAAAGTTGAAACGGTCAAATTAATTTTGTGGATTCAAGATAGCGTTTTAGGAGCAAAAATTTTTATTATTGCAGTTAGTGATGATCGACGCGATTTTCCATCAAGTCGATTTGAACAACATTCGCATGTGGTGTGCAGGTGATGTTTAAATGTAATTACATGTAATAATGTAAAAATCAAATTGAATAAATGCGAGCTGATGTTTTATACAAGACAAAGCATTTAGTCGCATTAATATAAAAATGAAGCGAACAGAGTCTAAAAATCGTTGATTCATTTAATGAGTTGGTTGGTGTCAAATTATCATTTATTAAGCATGTTATAACTATACTGGCAAACCAAGCTATGTTTGGGTTTATTAGAAGATCATCTAATGATTTTAATGATCCGTACATTTTGAAGAGTACATTCGTTGTACTCTTCCCTTGTTCGCCTTCATCTCGAGTAGGCTTCACAAGTGTGGTCACCATATTACAATGTCCATGTTAATAGAATTAAATTCAACGAAATTGTTTTAAAGCTTGCGCTACGTTGCCTTCCTTGGGATGATCCGATTACCCTTCCTCTCTATCTGAACAAGCTCAAATTGATTTGCTATCTATGCTAAACAAAATACCTTACATCACTTACCTATGTGATTTTTATCTTTCAACTTATGAGTTCTGACTAGATCTATTTCGATAACATGAACCCCTGACATCCTGCAGCATTCAAATTCTACACTTAGTTTTTTTTATTACACAGTCAAGTCTAATTTATACAAATGATTAACCATTTTGCCGTGTTTGAATCAATAAAAGCTAATAATCAAATACAATAAGAAATTTTTTAGAAAATTTATTTGAGATTTTGTTTTAGAAATTTTCTTTGTAAAAATTAAAATAACGCCAATTCTAAAACATTTCCATCGGGCTGGTAGCGGAAATGTATTTCCATTACTGGGATCGGATTTGTAAAGGAAATGTATAACTTTATAAAAACTTCTATCTCATATATTGACCTTTATCCACCTAGTGGCTAAAAGAGGAAATAATGATATAGGAATGGAATATAGAAATGGAATGGATTAAATTAATCCATATTCCATTTCCATTTTGTCAATCTATCACCATTTTTACTGTTAATCTGAAATTATAGCGGTATTCTTTTGACTCAGCTCACGTTCTAGATTGGTCATTTAATATAAAAAAATGACAGTTCGAAATCCAGCTAATTATATGGTTTTATTCAGGTCTTAAATTTTTAGTAATGCTATGTGTTACGAGTAGCGCTTACGTACTTTTTTTGTTTTAAAGTTGCGAAAGCGAAAAATGAGAAATTTTTATTTCAAAATTTGTATTCCCTACCATACCATTGTTTTACATTCACAACACAAAGTACAAGCAACGATAGGTTTACCAACTTTAAAGATTTATTCAGTTCACAAACCCGAAACGTTCTTTTAAATTATATAAAACCTAGAACTTGATCAGGAGCAAAAAAGAGCATAGCTAACGTAGGCTATCTTATTTTCGAAAATGGTTTTGAAACAAGATTATACCCAAAAAATTAAGATTGTTAAATAAAAGCAAATTATTTTTGTAAAAATTCGTAACAAGATGTAGCCAAAAGAGGGGTCTGAATCTAAACAAAAAATTTTTCAATTTCATTTTATACGTTACTGCCGCAATGTTAATATTTTATAATTTAGCATTATTGCGCAGATATTTTTGAAATTATTGCAAAATAAAATTATTTAAATTTTTTCTTAGTTGAAAAGAAAGTTTATCTATTTAAATTTAACACAATATTTACCGTAATTAATTATATTTACCGTAGGTGTGAAATTAATAATATCTTTTTTCATCCGGGATAATGGACACGAACCACTTCAATTTGTTATACATAGATAAAAATTTCTTGCGAATTATAGGGACAGATGGCACAATTTTTGATAAAAAGCAATGAGCAATGGTAAAAACAAACAATATTATTCAGAAATCTGGTTTTAGTTTAAAAAATTTTGTTAAGGTATCTAGACACAAACCACTGTAATTTTAAACGAAATAAATATCGTAAATTTGTACTAAAAATTATTGTAACAGTTTGAGAAGTTGAAGGGCAGATGGCACTTGTTATAATAGAAAGGAAAAAAATTACATACAAAAATAATAATATAAAAAATAAATAAAAATACGTACATGAACATTGAAATAAACATAGTTAAAAAAGGGTAAAAACTTTAAAAATTTAAATTGATACTTTCTATTTTATTCTAAGGTAAAATTGACCAAATATTTGTGGCTACTTAGAATTGTGCGTTGCTGGTTTTAAGGTGTTTTAAGAAACAACAAAATGAAAACATTTGTTTTTCAAAATAAAAATTTCATTGTTGATTAAAGAAACATTCAATAATTTTATTTTTAAGAAAATTTATTAAAAAATCTGTTTTCCTTACACTCTTATATTAAATAAAATAGGAAACTTTAAAGGTGTCCGAGTCTAGTTACATATATTAAAGCCTAAACTGGGTAGACAATAAAACTAACTTTGGAGATTGAAAAATTATTGAAAATTTGAGTAAAATTTATGATTGCTTTACTTGAGCACGTGTGACATTTATTAGAAAAACATGGCTTGTTTCAGTTCAAAGTAAGCTTGTTATCTGTGGCAAATCTTGTTATTAGCTGTTCATCACAGTAAATAAAACAGTTTAATACTTCTACTCGTAAAGAATTAGAAAAATTTTGAAAATACTGAGACTTCTGTAAATGTGCTGTAATATTTTCTAAATATTGTCCATGAAACCCTAATAGTTTTTACCATGGTCAGTCTCAGGTGTATTTTACTTCTCTAGAATATAAACTATTTATCATGCTTTTGAATTTGGTAAAAGCAACCGAAGAATTTCCGCTAAAATACATATTAGCTCAACGCAATTGCAGCATGTTCCAGCATTTTCCGCAACAACTATAACTATAAGAAATTACAAAAAATATTTATGTATTTATTTATTTAATTGAAATTTAAAAAAAAGTGGTTCGTACTTTAAATATTATTCAAAAAATTCCCACGTCAATGGATTACATGCTGATAACATCAGATGTACATGTATCGTATACATATGTATGAACCCATCCTTAAAGTATATAAGTATGAATAAGATGGTAATATTGTCCATGAAGAAATATTGTAGAGCAGAATATTCATTTACTGCTAAATCCATGATCCTTAAATATTTGAAAGAAAAAAATTTTTTATGTTATCAGTCCCAAAGAGTGCAAATGTCTTGCTCTAATAAAATCACAAATTTTTCTAAATTTGTCTAATTAAACACTTGGTTTCTAAAAAAATTCAAATTAATTTCAAAAATTGTTTAGACTAATTTCAGAATGGCTTATATGAGATATTAATTGGCTCTCTTAAACGTAAACAAAATTAAAATTATATAAAGTATCCTTGCTTTTTTTGAACACAGAATACTTGTTTGTAGAGCTTTTGTTGTAAATGCTGTTTAAAATGTCAGCTCACATATTTTTGTGAGTTTTGTTTTGTTGCAACAAATTTATAAATTATGCATGGGCTTATATTGTGTTGCGAGTACATTATCCTTCTTAGGTTGCCATTTACATTATAAC